TTGCGGAGCTTGGGAATGGCGTTGGGGTTCACTGGCTTCATGGTGGGGCTGTCGCCCCGCCTGGCGCTGCTGGCGCTGCTGGAGGTGCCCCTCACCATCACCGCGCGCAAGGTCTACGATGCCCGGTACCAGGTGACGGTGGGGACGGAAGGGACAGGATTGTGGGGACGGGATGGGGACCCAAGGAGACGGGATGGGATGGTGGAATGGGGACAGGGAGGATGGGATGGTGAGAATGGGAATGGTGGGGATGGGATAAGGACAGGAAAGCATGGGATGGCAGGGAAGGGATGGAGACCAGGGGGATGAGATGGTGGGAATGGAATGGTGGGGATGGGATGGTAACCAGGAGCATGGGATGGTGGGGGTAGGATGGGATGGGACAGTGGGGACAAGATGGGCATGGTGGGGATGGGACAGGATGGGATGGGATGGCAGGAATGGGAATGGTGGGGATGGGACAGGATAGCGGCACGGGGACAGGATGGGGTTGTCAGGGATGGGGACAGTGGATGGGGGCCCTGGGCTGGGGGGACAGAGGTCTGGGGCTGTTGGGAAGGGGATGGGCAGGGCCAGGCTGGTGGGAATGTCCCATTGCCGCCCCACGAGTGCTGAATCCGGCTGCCCCCGCCCAGGTGCTGCGGCGAGCCGTACTGGATGCCACGGCCAACACGGCAGCAGTGGTGCAGGAGGCCGTCTCCTCCATTGAGACGGTGAGGACCTTCGCCGGGGAGGAGGAGGAGGAGCGTCGCCATGGCTCAGCAGTGGACGAGATGCTGAGGCTGAAGGACCAGATGGACAAGGAGCGGGCATTCTTCATCCTTATCCAGCGGGTGAGGCGGGTGCAGGAGGGACCTTGGTGTCCGGGCACCCCTGTTTCCCCCACCCCGCTGACCCCCATCCCTGCAGGCGCTGCAGCTGGCTGTGCAGGTACTGGTGCTCTACCACGGGCACCAGCAGCTCCGCGAGGGGACCATCACCGCCGGCAGCCTCGTCACCTTCATCCTCTACGAGGGCAAAGTCGGCCGCCATGTGCAGGTGAGACCAGGCGATGTATGTGTCCGTGTCATCCCATCCCCACCCCGTGCCCGTGTGTCCCCGTCCCTGGTGCCACCACCTCTCCCCTGTGCAGGCGCTGGTGTTCGGCCACGGTGACTTGCTGAGCAAAGCGGCAGCCCGTCGTGCGATCTTTGAGTACCTGGACCGGGACCGGGAGCCCACCGGGGACTCCGGGGGCACCTGGGCACCCGCCACGCTGCGGGGCCATGTTGCCTTCCGCTGTGTCTCCTTCGCCTACCCCATGCGCCCCGAGCACCTCGTCCTGCAGGTAGAGCCGAGGAGGCGTAGGGGGGCACCAAAGAACTGAGCACCCACCACCGCCGTCACATCCCCCACCCCCAGGACGTCTCCTTCGAGCTGCGCCCCGGCGAGGTGACGGCACTGGCAGGACTCAACGGCAGCGGGAAAAGCACCTGCGCGGGGCTGCTGGAGCGATTCTACAAGCCCCGGGCCGGGGAAGTGCTGCTGGACGGGGTCCCGCTCCAGGACTAAGAGCAC